TAGTAATAGTAATAGTAATAGTAATAGTAATAGTAATAGTAATAGTAATAGTAATAGTAATAATAATAATAATAACTTTTTTAATGTGTCAAATTGTTTTAGCCAAGGGATAACCCTCTATTAATAGAAGACACCTACCTAAAAAGAAATAACAAAACCTAAGAACAATTTAAAAATTAGTCTATTTACAAGTTACAAAACCTAAGAATAATTTAAAAATTAGTCTTTCTACAAGTTTCATAAAAATACTTAACAATAAAAAATATATATATATAATTAAACATTTTAAAAAAAACTTAATTAATTATTGCATAGATTACAGCTTCAGCATCCCTCATCCAGTAGAGTTTCCAGGTTTGTCTTACGTATGTTTGTTTTAAAACATTAATACTGGCAGCCAACCTTAATTTGCTGGGGAGCCTATTCCATAATTTTTGACCCAGATATCAATAGTTTTCAGAGGTTGCACTGTGCAAAGAAAAGCTACATGTTGTACATGTATAGAAAATTCCTGTAGATTCTTTAACCCCTTGCTGCGCTACATTAGATGCCTCCACCTATTCAGTCTTCATTAGACAGGCATTAAAACATTAGAATCCTACCTGCCAGCAGCTTTCTGTTTGCTTTACTTATCTTTTCCTGTCAAAAGAAATATCACAACACAGTTTATGTTGGATACACATTACACTTGATATTTTCATGTACAGGCATACTTGATTAAGGTACCAGTTCAGATAACATACAGTTCCATCAATTAAAAACTACACCTAGGATGATACTCATTCTGGTTATGCTGCATGCGCATGTATACGTTGCAATCCACGTACATATATACACACATCAGTAAATGTTTACATATATACGAAATAGTCTTTTGGTATGTGTGCATGCAAAGCATCTTACTGCAGTGAGATATTCATGGTATTTTCCAAAGACTTTTAAATTCATTCTGATAATGTTTGCAAGTCATTCAGATGTTTCCAATCACTTTTGAAACATTTTCAAAGTTTGCAGAGGTCTTCAAAAGATTTCTCAGGAAGACCTAACTTATTTTGACCTTATTTTATTTGAAACAAAACTACTAATTCAAATGCCTGAAATTGAAAAATAACCTTATAGCCTTATACTGTAACTAGCAGGTTTCCAGCCCTCTAATTGGCTGCAGTCTTAATGGCATGACATAAATCAATTTACATGCACTGCAGCAAGAGCATTCCTAAACTACACCATACAAACAATTTGGCCACAAAAATTCCTAACAAAAAATTCTAACAAGTGATTGAAATAACCTTACCTTCAAAATTAGTTTTTCAAAATATACAAATGCATAAGCTACTGTTGTCAGATCCAGCTGACATTCCTGATAGGAGATAAGAAAACAAAGGAATAAAATTTGTTTTCGCCAAATGACATACATGTACAATTATTAATTTTGTTAAGTTTATGTTGTACCCCTTTGCATGCAGCACAGGCCTATGGTCATTTACATTATATAAATGTCATGGGTACGAATTTTATAATGTTCACCATATTGGAACCACACCTCACACATACAACCATCCTTTAAATCCTGGCCACCTTGTTAGTCTGGCATTTTGCATATCTGTTTGGCCCAAACAAAATTCCAGAGGGTTGGGGGATCAGCAAAGAGTGGCACCTTGGAGAACCTATATGTGTATGGTGTAACACCATGGGCTTTACTATTACAGTGAGGAACAATGCTATTACTATCATTAAAACTATAAACACTACCCATGCCCACTGAGATATCTAAACACCAGAAGCCTAACAATTAAGTTCTGTAACTGAGATACAAAACCATACTAACTGTCTTGTACATTAGTGTCATGAATTAACAGACCTAATTTCATTCCAAATACAACACCTTATACTACAACTTAATATTATAGTTCATTTCCAACAAAGAATCCTACCTGTGATATAGCTATTTTAACAATATCTTTCTTAAGGCTATAAAAAGACACAATAAAGATGAAAATAAATACTGTGTTTCTCAGTAGGCAATTTCCATGATGGTGTCATCTGACTAAAACCACCAGGATCTTTTTTTTTCTTTTTCTCATGCTAATTAAGGCAATTGTAAATATTAAACCCTACTGCTACTTCAACATTTAAATAACAAAGGGAAAACAGAATGAATTGTGCTAGTTGTTGCCAAATGACAACATTGTGCAAGTCTACTCTTGAATAGCTACAAAAGTTATGTACATACATGTACAAGTCACTAAACCTGAGGCAACCAGCGACAAAATGTTTATTACAGCTCACGAACAGTAAGTAAAAGGTAAAGTTGTGCATTAAGGTGACTGGACATTCAGTCCAATCTACAAGTGGATTCTGACCATGAAAGGAAATGTGACAGTAAATATCTTGTCCAAGAGTACAACACAATGACTCCGGACAGTGCATCTATACCCATTTCCCATCGGTGAACTTAGATGAATCCATCATTGCACTGAAGTTGAAAATAAGTTCACTTGGTACCTTCTTAGTTTAGTGAGTGTGATGTTGAGGTTTGGAAACTTTTCCCTGAACTGTTCATTCAAGTCCTTTTTCAGTTCAGAGGGCTTTGCATATGCTACCATGGATACCTAGAAAAGAATCAATAAGAGATTTACTACTGACAAAATCTAAATTCAGTTGCTAAACCAAACAGCATTTTAGTTACATAATTAATTAGTAGGGCATTTCTGAGTGCTTTTTGCCAAAATGAGTCCCACTGCAAAGCAGTTCATAAGAAAATGAGCGTAACTAGTATAAAATCAATGGAGAGGTTATAAATACATCTAAGCTCATTTTCAAATGACAGAATTTGCACAAATTGAGACTCATTTTGAAACAGAGGCAAAACGTCTTAGAAGGAGCTATTTCATTATTTACAACCCATTAATTTAGTGAATGTTGATGTCTCAACTGCTGCAAAGGGAGTAATTTCATGATGAACGTGCATACATTTACATAATGCCTGATGCATACATACCAGGTAAGATGCAAGGTTGAGAACCTTCCGGTGACGTCCTGAAGTCAATTCAGGGTCATCAAGCAGATGGGGATGGTATCCACTTGGTGATGTAAAAGCGCTGTCACCAGACTCTGTGAGATAAGAAGTAATAAACAGTAAAACCTTCCTCTGGATCTAGGGTTGTCACTAAGTGCTGGCTGCCAGCTAAATTCACCAGCTGCAAGAGAGGTGATAACTGGATGGATTTTGGTGGGCGATCACTCGGTAAAGGACAACAAATGGTTATTAGGTTGCGCACATACAATCATTTGATATCTGAACTATATTGAACCATCTAAATCAACTAAATGAAAAGTTTGGAATAAATTCCTGACTACCTTGAGTATCGGTGCCACTATAACGAGTAAAGTACTTGAAATAGTATCTTGTTTTGAGCACTTGTTTAGCGTGTTCTCTTTCCGTGATCTGCGTCCACCATCTTATAAACACGAAGCTTGGTAGCCCCGCATTCAAGGCGTTGCAAAAGATTGGGGACAAAAATTTTGTCACAGGTCTCCCACGAAAAATGATGACTGGCTCAATGAAAATCTTAGCTGGGATCTCAACTATTTTCTTAGCTACAGCCCTGTGGATCATTAATTAAAAATTAGTATTTCATAAGTAAATTGACTAATATATTTACAACAAAATTTTACCAACGGGAAAGACAAAACTAAGGCAATTCACTACCAAAAAGAGCATATTTATAAAGCACAATAATTTTTATCATCTTTACCTTGTGATGCTCCACCAGGATCCACTGGCAAAGACATAGATCTGCTGGCAGCAGCTTCATTCCATCTGAATGGGTACGTTGAAATAAGGAATGATCTGTACGATACAGTCTGATGGCAAAATCAAACGATCTATGAGCCAAATACATGAATTGACAACACAGATAAAACTATGTTTCAGGTTTGCCAATTTCTTGATGACAACAACATTCANGAAAACTCATGAGTGCACTGCTACAAGACGTAAAAGTTGTACTTCCATAACTTGAAAGAAACACAGAACTACATAATTTTGGCATGAGCTGTTGATGCAACAATGGAACATGCAAAGGGAATTTACATTTCCATATACTAGGGGAGAAATACATTTTAAGCCACACACACAAAACACGATCTTGGTACCTCTTAGGGGTTCTTTTCAAAATTTTCGACAAGCACCCCCATCCCTGTTATATGGGAGTCCCCCCCTGGGATATTTGTACTGAAACCCCACATGAGCTTTAATTAATATAATTTATAGCACAAAGGAGGAACACGTACACATTCACATAATGCCCCTGAATAATAACTCCTATTGGCTTTCATACTTCCAACAGCTGTTGTAGAACTTATCTCCTTGCGTAGTACCACGTAGTACATGTGTACAATACCTTCAATTAAATTATTCATGATTAAGATATTCCTTCATTAAATGTTAATTTTCATGACACAACAGTTCCAATTCATTTAGGGGTAACGACATAATTTGCTAAATCGTTCGTTACTGGTCAAATATAACAGAATATGAATTAACCCTTACCTTTTGTCATTTGCTCTCCTCTTGTGATGAAACGAAGATCCCATTAAGCATGAAATTCGATGTTTGCTCCTGCACACACCACCACTACTCGTGGACGTTGAATCAGTCGATTGCGATTCAGACATTGAAACGCTCCTTCGCACAACCACAGCACTGTCTTGCCGCTTCCCTTCACAGATAGCGTCCGTTACGCTTCGTTGTCTGTTTATAACCCGTTTAGTGCTTCCTTCCTCACAGTTCGAGGTCGACGGCTCAGAAATCGAATGCAGCAGAGTTCGCCTGGGCGACAAGATATCAGTGTTTCTTGTCACATTTTCGTGGCTTCTTTTCGTTGCACTTTTCTCCGTTTTCCGTTCAACTTCTTCCTTAACAATATTCCCGTCGAGAGAAATATTCGAAAGGAAAGCACATGCCGAAGCTATGCGCCGTGACTTTCTTCTATTCGTGCGGCCAGCTGTCACAGCCGCCATTTTGGCGGTTGTTGACAAATATTGAGCCCGACCCGCTAGCCGTGCGCTAAAATAATTCTCAACCAAGCCCTCCCCCGAAAGGTATATCTCAGTGATCGAGCTCCTAACCGTGGGAGATCTGGGGCCAGGTAGATACATTAATTTTCTTTAATTTTCCAGGAGTTCATCTGTAAGCACCTGATTTTTTGTATCAGGGACAGACCATTATTTTTTTCAGGGTTTGAAACATAATCCCAAAAAACAATTCGTGCACAGCAAAAAGAGGGCCGAAAAAAATTGTGCAAAGGGAGCCATGGGGAAACAAAACATCTCACAAGTGCTTTCTACTAACCAGGTTCTGATATTTGATGTTAACAAAAATTCTCGCACAACTGCTTGCCCACCAAAAAAAAAGCATGCACAACCTTAAGGTGAAAAAAAAAAATTAATGCCCCAGAAGCCCAACTGCTGTCCCCCCNGACTCATCATAGTAACGTCGTAGTTTGCAGCCCTTCATAGGGTCATCATGCAACCTTTCTGCTAGGAAATGTGTCACTATTACAAGTGTGACACACTTTTCCTGAATTGTTTCTCCTTCTGTGCGCTATTGACCTGACCCTCTTTGAAACCTCTATTTTGATTAGATCTACACCTCTTTGGCTCTTAGAGCTAGGGCATTGTTCGTGTTGTTTACCTATTGTTTCATTTGGCCAATTATAAAGAACCTTGTTAACGGGGCAGATCGCCTTCTGTGCAGAGGGGCATTTTTGTTTTTGAACAATAGTGATGCTACATGATCATCAGATCTTAGTGATTTCTCCTGCAGGGGTTGATGAGCTGGGCCTGTAAAGAGCAACCCCAGGAGACCACATTTGATTGAGACAGGGATACTGGGGTGTGGTATCATCTGGGGTGTTCAGAATAGAAAGCAATTTTTTTCAATTTCAGGGTTAAGGAGAGCAGAATGATACTCAAGGAAAATGATATTAGGTACCTACAAATATGGCACCAAACCGTACTCCCAATATGAAATAATTTATAGATTAAATTTATTACCCTGACTGCCATAAAAGCTCATTGTTATTGACATGATAAGCTAGAAATATTAACAGCACAATAAAAAGTTCATTTCATTCACAGTTTTGATTACCAGAGCTTGCCTTTATTCAAAAATCACAAAAAACACTGTTACATAATTTCAAATTACAAAAAAAAAAATTGAATTAACAATGGAATGATCACTTGAGGGCAGCACGTCTTGCACGTGAGTTATTATATGATCCCATCAATTGATCTAACCTAACTAATCCAAATGAATACAATATTGATTCTTAGAGTGAGCTATGACAAAAAAGAAAAGAAATTGTGATGGAAATGCTCATCGACCCCTCATTCAATACCGAGCAGCTCCACATCAAACACCAAAGTGGCATTGGGAGGGATAGTGTACATGGTTAAGGAAAAGAATCAAACTGTCAACTCTAAACACCAGTTACTCACAAACAAATGGAAAGGCAGCAATGCAATATAAATGCCAGAAAAGGAGAGAGTAAGCTTAAATTTGCAAGACTACTAGTTTGGATGTTTGAGTGCAAGATTTTAAGTACAGAGATTTTAATGTTTAACATTGAGACGATTTGTCTAGAAAACATTGCTAGATGCAAAATTGATAAGATTAAATAATAATATAAATTTATAATTGTATGGCAAATCCATGATGAAAAGGAGAATTCTGATCGGTGGTCCCAATTTTGCCATACAGATCGTTAAGATGGACTACTTCCTTTCTAAAACATGCATAAAAGAAATACAGTTTCTTCTTATTATAAGAAGAGAATGACATAATTATTTTACTTTTGTCTGGGGAATGATTTCAGTTTGACTTACGTGAAAGTGGTCTGAAAATGTAAATACAAAAAATGCTGAACTTTGGTGCATGCTTGTCAGCAGAATTTCAAAAGAGCCATTTAATTAAAATAGCAAATACCTTATAGATTGAACTAGCTTGTTCAGTCCTTATTAGGGATTATTACATGGCTGTGTCTCACAAGGACTGGGAACTACCAAACTGACGAATTTGATTGGCTGAAATCGATTTTGACCATGGTCTAGATTTTCCCATCTAGACTGACATCTAGACCAGCATCTACACTGGTTACATTTTATGGTAGAAAGTTACAAACTAGAATTCAAGTTAGAATATTGGCAATTTTCTTCTAAAAATATTAGTGGAAGTATCAAAAAGCCCAATGAGACAAGAAAGTAAAGAGAATGAGCAAACTTTGATGGATTTAAGTGCAGCTCATCACTGTTTGTAAGCAAAATGTCAGTTAGAACAAACCAGTTACATTAAACGAATTAGATTTTTCTTGTTTGGCATATAATAAACAATCTTATTAACCAAGCTTAGTCGGTCTGTATAGGTCTTGAAAATCTCAACCTTGGTTGTGTGTACAGACCTCACTGCATTCAGTCAGGTATTCACAATCTTGCAATTGGTGAAGATTCTCCCATACAGACCTCCTGCTTGGTTAATACGAGCTGAATATTGGTTTCATTCTTTTTTTGCAAGTGTATGGACTGCCTGCTCAACAAGTTTCCCCAATACAGACGGCACACTACATCAATAACATACATCGGATATTTCAAACTGCCATAAAATCTCACATTAAACATCAATGGCTTCAAATTTCATCATGCTCTTTGTAATTCTGGTATCCATTATGTTCCAGACCCTTTTTTTATGACTGACAAGGTCACACAAAACGATTGCACAAAGGTCCTATTATTTAGCCAAGGCTTGAGTCCAGACTTCAGCCAACATGCCAGTCTCTGATTTGCTATATACTGTAAATTCTGGAATTAGCGCCCAGATGCTTTTTTCAAATTTAGGACAAGATGGGGGGCACTGATTCAAGGGAGGTGCTTAATTGAGGGGGGCACTTATTTTTAAATTTTTCCCAAATCATGGTCAGGTATGATTGGTTTTTCATAATATATGTATGTGTCAGTCCCTCAGAAGTCTCAAAAGGACCCTGTCTCAATTGAAGAACTACATAATAGAACACCTTTAGCCAGTCTAGGCCTGCTGCACAAGGTTGGTTGGGCTTTAGGCAGCAGATCCTCACTACCATCCATTGTGACAGTTAATGTGCAGTGCTTGAATGAGTTGATAATCACTTTCTTGTGATTGAACATGACCAAAACTATACATCCTTTGTTGTCTCAGTACTCTTCCATAAATCAGGGGGAGAGGGGCACTTATTTGAGGGGAGGTGCTAATTCAAGGATTTGCAGTATTTTACACAATCTCACAATAATAGAAACATGTAAAAGGATATACACCAGGGTAGCCCTGGGGCCCATAACCATAATCAGGTGAGCAAGTCAGTTTTGCTCGTTCGCCTACTTTCATCTGAAACAAAATATCAAATTCAATTTTATTATTTGGGAGAGAGTATTATGTAAAACTGGAACAATACAATACTGTACTTTGCCAACATGGTAATCAATTAATAAAAGATCTGAAGGGAATAAAACAAACCAAAGCAAAACAAAGCAAAATACCAGATTGTGATATTTATTTATTTATTTATTCATTCTTTTGTTCATTCATTTGTTCATTATTCGTTCGTTCGTTCATTCGTTCGTTCGTCCGTTCATTCGTTCGTTCATTCGTTTGTTCGTTCATTGGTTGGTTGGTTGGTTGGTTCTTTCGTCCATTCATTGGCTCGCTCATTTGCTCATTCGTTTATTCATTTAAAATTTATTATTTTTTTGGTGGGCTCCCACTGAGCATGCAGATGTGCAAGATACAATGCTAACCATTTTATTCCGACGACTTTTTACAAAACAGTCAGAAGCATGCAGATGACTATTGCAAACATCTGACAATATAAGTGAGATTTCTCACTAGCATTCCTTTTGTATGTTCTGACTCAAGACATAAAGTATGTTTTCGTTAAATCCATATCAACCACACATATTTCAGTAATTACAGACTATAATTTTGTGACAGAAGAATAATATCCTTTGAGATGCCATATGGCCACACCAAAGCTAGCAGAATGTCTGATGCCCAAATTTCACAGATGTCAATGAAATTACACAAAAAATGTTGAATTTAGTACTGAACATTGAATTTACTACTTGGCCCAACAGTTTTATTCAGGACTGGACAAGTTATCCACTTACATCTGACTGGTTTATAAAAAATGGAAAGAGGTGGGTTACATCATAGCTTGCACATTCATCAAACCTGAAACTGTCCCTTTACACATTATCAAATATAGTGAATACCTTTGCTACACCTTCATCCCAACCTGAAAAAAAAACTGACAGTTATAAGGCAACCATATTGTTACTACAGGGTAACAGTTAATTAAAACTAGATTTAATACAGTCCAACCTCCCATAAGTGACCACCCAAAAATTCAAGCCTAGGNGTTTTTGTGTGGTTATCGATTGGTCATCGATTGGCCGATACCAATCGATGCCAATTAACTAATTTTATCGATTGATATCGATTGATCGATTGAATTTCCGATCATCGGTTTCCATCGATGGGATACCCCGCGTCATTAACATCTCACTGATTTTTTTAGTGGTCAATTTGTTTCTGTATGCTTCGTTGTTAGCAGCGTTAAGATATATGTTAATAAGTGGCCCGGTATTGAAAGTCGCTCCAAATAGGCCAATATTGTGTTAAAAATGCAATATAGGGTTACTTTTGAACACGAGATGTATTTCAACTCTCACCTTTTATGACTTGGCCCGTACCGAGCTTGAAGCGAAAAGGTCTCCCTTTATCTCTTGAAGAATCGAACTTTTTGCCGTCTGTTAGCGTTCCTGTAAAAGAAGACAAGCTACCATACAAAAGGGATCGACGAAGTGTATACTGTAGCCTTAAAAGTATACCACTAAATTTACGCTTCTGTCAATTCTAAGCTCAAATATGCACACACACATAAGCTTAGTGTACCAAATGTTAAGTTATCAAACAAAGCTACCAGTGTAATGGACAACGACTGTCTGCCCTGTCTTAGGAGAAGCTCCACCACCCTCTTTGATTGTCTCCTTTTCAACTCCCATGATTTGGCGTTCGATCTCTCAGCTCCACAACGAAAATCTTTCCGTGCGCTGAGACACCACGTGACAAATGTTAGACAGCAACTTACTGTCATGGGCTGTCAGCGTGGTTCTTTGTTTCCATACCCCATCCCTTGCATTTTTTATACTTTAACTGCAAAAAACAATTTTACGGCCAGTTTTTTTTTTTAAATTATGCATTAATATTTATTTCTTATTCTTTAATTTTATATCACATCAGTGATTACAAATAACGCAGTGCTGAAAAACAACGGTTGGAACCTGATGTAACCGTACTTCTCACCCCACACTGGACAGTACGAACTGTTGTTGGTTTGTTTTGTTTCGGTCCAAGGTTCCTTTCACTCACTGCGTTTGAAAGAAAACAAGGCAAAGCTGCCCTTGAACTGTTTTAGCTTCGGTGTACTCTTTTACGGGATTCGTCATCCAGAAGCAAGAGCGTTTTTCAAGTATTTCAAGCCAACAAGTCACAGAAATATCAACGCAGCTCAGAAAGATTGGTGGGTTATATCTTTGTGCCCCTTTTATCACAACAGCTTCTTCAACGCTGTTCAATCGTAACGTGCAGAATAAGCTTAAATTCGGATAATTTGCGGAGTAATAAAGGTATGTTGGCTTACTTGTTGTTACTCGGGGCATTTCCTAGGCACTTATTTCACCATGATTTGTCTTCTTTCAATTTTGCATCTACATCAAAGTCGTACTGCGGAAAATTAAAGAAGTTCGCATTCGAGGATCGAGGATATCTACAGTAATTTTGATATTCGTCGACAAAAACGCTTACGTTTATAAACTTAAGTCTTATGTAATCGAGAGATTATCTATGTCACGAGTCACATTGTTTTAAAACTTGTTCACTCATTCTCTCGTGTTGATAATTACCTTTTCCCATCCTTGTATAAAGCTTTAGTTTTATTTTTTGGCTGAAATAGATGAGTTAATACGTCAAAATTTATATAAAAGAGACTGTGCTAAGAATAACTCGATCTACAGTACATGTACATTCACGAAGGCAGTTTAATGCTAAGGCCACATGTTATGATCAGCTAGCCTTTCCAATCAAATGATCTGACTATATATAATCAGTGAATGGATAAACAAAGGTACTAAAGTGTCTAAAGAAACTGTTTTCTGTGTCGGCCGGTAATTGAAACACAAAATACAGAGCTATCATAAGTTGATAAAGGTAAATTAACAGCTATAGAGAGTTTCTGAAGGTTACATTTCAATCAACAGCCTCTTGCTCTGATGAAGGGCAAACACTGACCCAATACTTGAAAGCCAGTCTTCACAAACTGATCGCTACAGTGATTAATTAATTATTTTACCTCAGTGAATTTCAAGTTGATAAATAGCTATATGTTAAAAGATCAAGTCTCCAAAATTATTTGTCAGTCTATTTATGTCAAAAAGGGTCACCCGACAAATATAATGTGATTCATTCAATTCAAACCTCCCTGGGGGCACATTGTCATATCAGGGGGATGTCAGACGGGTGCTTGTAAACTTTCATTCACACTTGCCCATTTGACTTCTGCACTTTAAGGTTAGTGTTAAAAACAAGATTAGTGCCCTGCTGCTAAATGATGTTAAAAAGGCCTTGTCTCCAATATGTTACAACCCCATTCAGCGCTTGAAATTAAAAAAAAAACCCAGGTGTTTATATCAAATTGTTATATGGTACATTTCAGGGCCAGCGTTAAGGATCATAACCAATAATGTTCCTGACTGTGCTTTTTTCAGCTGAGTATGTTTGATGTGCCCTTGGTACTATGGCTGAACTTGTCCCAGGGGCTGGGACTCCCATCTGGAAATTTTGAAAAGAATCCCGGTATAAGAGATACCAAGGTCCTGTTTTGT